TTTTTCTCTGTCCTTCCTCATTTCGGACATTTGACAATGTTGATTTCGTTGCAATATTGACGTTTAAAGTACATTTTATATCGTGCATTTATTGGGTAGGGCTGAATTTATAAAGCTAAATAGTTTGTATATGAAGAGGTGCACATTTCAGAATTGTAATATATATATTGATGTGAAATTTAAATCATTGCAACAAAATACATCGACTTGAACAAGACATATCTTGATTCAACATATCTGGTTTCCTGTATCCTTTGTCCTTGCCGATTAAACTATCGATCTGTCACGAGAAAGAAGGTAGGCGGCTTAAATACAGTCTGTTGTCATGGCTTAAAGTTTCGTTACCGCGACACAGCTGTTCTCGCGTTCTACGGTGAACACCAATGTTTAAAATGTAAGTTAAACTTGGCAGAAAATCCGTTAAAGTGTATGATTTTGAGGGGTGTGGTGGGCGAGCTGTCTAAGGCACCAGGCTAGTGATCCAGAGAGCTTGAGGTGCCTACCTGTGACCATGTGTAAAAACCTTGGAGTTCACTTTCTGTGCAAACCCAGTACACAACCCTGTGCACTTAAATGAACCCACGAATCCGTTGGTAAATGACCAAATGGTGGCCACATGAATACGTGCAAACACCTAGTTGCTGGTACAGCAACGTGCAGTAAAACTTGGACAAAGTACTGTGACTATGCGTTCCAGTCTACCCAGCTGTAAATAGGTACCTCGCAGGAATGGGAAAGTCACATTAACTCGGTGCGCCTAGTGGCTTCAAGAGATGCATGATCCCCAGGGAGTTGAGATGGGTAATACGATGTCGCGTTTCAGATTGACATCCAACGATCGAGGGAAAATAAAAGTGCCTTTGAGCAGCTGAGCTGGATATTGGCGCTATACAAGTACTAGCATAACAATAATATTCTTAGCAGCAAAAAGAAAGCCCTCAGTTTCACATGTAAGACCAGCCAACTTCATCCTGGCGAAGGAGTCGGTGGGATTGCTGTTCTGTTCCTTACACTGCATGTACACACGATGCAATGGTTACCCAGAAAGCTTCTTTTCAAATGACCGACTCTGCGCGGGACTGGTTGAAGGACTTCACCTGGTTTACTCCCATCGCTGTACCGTCCAGCAGTACATCGCCATCAACAAAATCAACCTCAAATTCCTGCCAACAAACCTGATCTTGCCATTTTTGATAAAACAAATGAATTTATTTATATCATTGAATTTTCTGTCCCTTTTGACAGCAACGTGATTGGCAAGATTCAAGAAAAGCTAGCATGCTAAACATGCGGGACTCGCCTTTAAAATGTCTCGTTCCATCCAAAGTACACTGTCGTCAGGCTCCCCATTGTTCTCGGTGCCCTTGGTTTGGCACCTCCTGATCTCTTGGCGCAGATCAGGAGAGTGTCCGGGTTCTCCACCGGGAGCACAGCCCTTCTGATACTCTGGGTAATGCAGAGTGCATTGATGGGGAGTCTACATATTCTCCGGAAAGTTCTTAGTGGGTTCGACTAGGCAGCGTTTCCTGGGAGAAGTCCCATTCGCTGTCTGGGCTGCATGAAGAGGTGGAAAGGGCCCTGAGCTGATGATGAGCCTTACCAGCCTGACTGTGCCAGGATCACCCGAACCCTCTCTGCTGCATATTTCATCTTAATCTGTAAAACATAATACTAATTAACATGATTGCAGGAAAGTAATGAAAGGGAATGATTGCTGGAAAGTAAGGACTGGGGATGGTTGCTGGAAAGTAAGGACTGGGGATGGTTGCTGGAAAGTAAGGACTGGGAATGATTGCTGGAAAGTAAGGACTGGGAATGATTGCTGGAAAGTAAGGACTGGGGATGATTGCTGGAAAGTAAGGACTGGGGATGGTTGCTGAAAGTAAGGACTGGGGATGGTTGCTGGAAAGTAAGGACTGGGGATGGTTGCTGGAAAGTAAGGACTGGGAATGATTGCTGGAAAGTAAGGACTGGGAATGATTGCTGGAAAGTAAGGACTGGGGATGATTGCTGGAAAGTAAGGACTGGGAATGATTGCTGGAAAGTAGGGACTGGGGATGATTGCTGGAAAGTAAGGACTGGGGATGGTTGCTGGAAAGTAAGGACTGGGGATGATTGCTGAAAAGTAAGGACTGGGAATGATTGCTGGAAAGTAAGGACTGGGGATGATTGCTGGAAAGTAAGGACTGGGATGGTTGCTGGAAAGTAAGGACTTGGGATGATTGCTGGAAATAAGGACAAAGTATTGCACCGACGACAATGACCTACCAAAGCAGCTGGAGCCACGGGGAGTTCAACATGTAGGTGTGCACGTAACCTGTTAATAGTGATTTTGTTCATATGTCACCATACACCTGCTTATAGAGTCCTCTGGGGTAAAGTCAAAGACGTACTCTCACACTTACGTTTCACAGTTCGGGCTTCCACATAAATCTGAAATAGTTGAAATACTGTTCAAAGCGGTGTTAAACCTTACTCACTCACAGAGGTCAGTTAGATTATGTTTCCGAGATATACAAGTGAGTTATGCCGAGGCAGATTCTGGTTGAGAATAAAGAGATGAGGTAGAATTTGTTTGCAAATGCAATTGCGACCGTAATTGTTGTCGAGTTGGAAGATGGTTGTGAATATATTTGTGTGTAAGAAATGTGGTCTGTTGTTGTGGTGATCGAAGCATTTGTCATCATATATTAGTCAGCATCGGCATGGTCTTTAATCAATATATGTTTTAGGGCCTATGTACTTCCAGTAAACCTTTCGAATTGTGAATCCACATGAATTTGGAACCACTTAACTTACATTTTGGATTTATGTTATCCGTTACATGGTCTTTGCTTTGTTGTCCCCTAATAAATTGAAGACTGCGTCCGTAGTGTAGTGGTTACAGCGTCCGCCCGCACAGCGGTAGGTCGCGGGTTCGATCTCCGACCGCGTCATGCCTGGCGCTCGGCGTTAATGGGTACAACAAGGACTGGTCGGCTCGGAGTCAGTATAATGTGTCTGAGAGGGTAATTCATGCTTCACTGCGGCGTGGCATCTCAGTGGGCTAGCACTATAAAACCAGCTTAAATCGGGGCTAGTACAAGCAGCTGCATATACACATACACACGCATGCACGTCGTCATATGAGCGAAATATTCTCAAGCACGACCTTAAACCCAATTTCGCCTCACCTCACCTCACCTAATGTATTGAATGTAATTATGTTCACACGTATATAATTAAACAACTTTGAATCACACAGGCACCCCTTAATGATGCACATATATCTTCCTCAACATTGCAACCGTCATTTGTTTATAATCGTATTGTCAGTTACATGGTCCTTACTTTGTTGTGCCCTAACTTATTGAATGTAATCAGGTTAATGCGCATATGCTTAGCAGCTTTTATGATGCAAATAATCTCAAGGGCAAAAGAAACGTCACCAAAATTATGTTTCATTTTTTAACGAGCCTTTGTATTTTTGTCAATACAAAAACAGGTTGAAACAACTTGCCCGAACGCAAACAACATACACTACGCATTGAATTGCCCGTGATTCATGTAATTTGTGTAAAAATGTTAAATTTGCACGGACTTTTGCGGAATTCCTTCGTAAAAAGCCGTATTGCATTCAGGTATAAAATGTGTAGAGAAATGATGTATTCCATTATCACATCGTATGGTCAAAAGGAAACATGCCAAGGCTAACAGCACAGCAGAGAGAACGAGCTATTGGTATGCTGGATTTGGGGGCGACGCAGTCCCATGTTGCAAGGTTGATGAACTGTTCAAAGCGAACAATCCTGAGATGGTGAGCCGTTACAGACGGACGGGTGTCACGTCTGACAGGCCTAGAAGTGGACATCCGGGGGTCACGACCCCCGAGGAAGACCGTTATTTACGACTGCTTCACTTGAGGAACCGCTTCGTAACTGTGACGTTATCCGCCCGAACTGCTCTTGGCCATCGAGTCAGCAGAAGGACCGTTGCCAGACGTCTTCGACACCATGGTATCAGAGCCTATCGACCGCTGAAGGCTATAAAGATTGAGGTGGGCGAGAACTGTTGAGCGATGGCAGGCAAGAAACTGGTCCAGAGTGCTCTTTACGGATGAAAGCCGTTTCCAAGTGTTTAAACCAGACGGTAGACAACGGGTATACCGAAGGCGGGGAGAACGTACACGACATTGCTGCGTACAAGAGACCAACCACTATGGTGGTGGAAGCGTGATGGTCTGGGGGGGGGGGATTTGTGGCGACATGAAGACTGATCTTATTGTGATTCATGGTAATCTAACAGCTGCACGATACATCAATGAAGTTTTAAGACCAGTCGTCGTGCCATTCATCCAGAATAACCCACGTACCATGTTCCAACAAGACAACGCCACACTTCATAATGCACGCATCAGTATGGACTTTCTTAATGCCCAGAATGTGACGTTACTTCCTTGGCCAGCTCGATCTTCCGACCTGTCCCCGATTGAGCACCTGTGGCACCACCTTGGACGACAAATCAACAAGCGACAGCCACCCATACAGACAAGAGAGGCGTTGGCACAGGCCCAACAGGAAGAATGGCGGAGAATCCTGATCCATGTGATCAGACGACTGACATTATCCGCTAGACGTCGTGTCCATGCTTGCATACAAGCCAGGGCTGACCACACACGATATTGGCTGTATTAAACTGTCTGTCTTCAGTTTAGAGCCGCTTATGATGAAACAGATGGTACTCGAATACCGGACAGTCAACTGTCCTCGATTCAATTGTACACTATGTGGTCATTCAAATCTGTAGTTCACACTTTCATCATTCAGAATGTTGAAAAACAATTAAGTTTCCAAATATGACTGTTACATTTCCAAAATCAGAGTTTGTTGTTTTGCGACATGTTAAAAAAGCGAGGTGATGCTTCTTTCGCCCGTGAGTTTATATCTCACATCAATCAAAAGAAAGCGGTAGAGACATTATCTAAGTGTCCGTTATTTGTACTTCTGTAGATACCCATATGGACCTGTGGACCATCATCTTTCGACAGTTTGTTCTACTTCTGGTCACCTTGTACAGAGATGAAGTAGATGGAAATAGCTACATGGTGAGTATTTGATCGTTCATCGTTATCTTGGCTCATATATTCGATTATGTTTTTATTTGATGGGTCCAATCCGTTCCTCATCATATGCGTGCCCATGTAGAATAAGAGGTTTGCAAGAAGATATATGTTTTGTGCTTTAATAAACTTTATTTTTAAGTTCGGTCCTGTACTTGGACATAGTGTTGGTTGCAGTTATGTTATTAAGTAGCATTCCACCAAAGAATCATGCAGAAGTGGATAAGTCGAAAATTTCATATTGACATGATATTTTGTCATTCCCTTTATTTGGTCTTGCAAAAATGTCATGTCACTCAGAATTTTTTCTCCTCTCAATATTTTTCATTCATTTTTTTAGCCTTTATTTCTTCGATATTGACCCAGAATCGCATATGAAAATGTACGAAAATACCATTTTCAGATGGCAAGATTGTTAAAACCATTCGTGCTGTCAGAATTCTTTTACTTTGTCTTGAAAGAATACATATAACTCCACTTCAAGATGAGTATAGTTCTATAGCAACGGTTATTCTAACCTATGTGAAAATTACTCAAAACAGATGATTTTTAGGAACATGAGCATGCTTACGAGCGTGGATTTGTGCGCACTATAAATAGGCACTATTATTATTATTAACATTTATCACAGAGCAACAAACGTTTGAAGTTGTAATTGTTATTAAAATAACTTCAAACGGCCAAACATAGAGAAAAGACTAATGAAACTCCTGTATCGTAGGAGGACAATACCACAAGATAACACGATAGTGGTTATTGTATCAGTAACTTCCGACAACTATTTGATTTTTTATATTCAAAACATAAATGAAACTCATATGAAAATAAATACCATTAGAGAATATATCTGTCCTTGATTGTAAAGTGTCTCGCCTCATTGACTTAACTAAGACATGTTCTCTTTTTTAAACAAAGAGATGAGAACGACCTATCATAAAGACATTCAGATTTGGGCCCTCTTCAGGTCATGCTGAAACTGAGCAAGATATTTAAATTTTAGAGAGTGTCTACTGCTATATAAAAATTATAGGATACTGATTTATACACACACGCTAGCTACAGTTATGTCAGGACTGTAAATGGAAGCAGCTTTTAGCAGGCATTTCCTCTGACTAAAAGGGTGTTTGGTTACATTGATATACAACACCTAGTTGATATTATTATTTCTTTCTGCACGTTTAGGACACAATAACAGTGGAAGGCGTGACGTGCAACTTTGCTGAATATAAAACCAATGACGGTGGAGGACCTCGCGGACTGCGTCTCTATTCGTGTAAGAATGTTAGCGGCAAGTTGAACATTGACTGCATTTACTTTGGTGGGAACCCTCACGGCTGCAAGAAATATAAACCACATGTGCAGAAGAGCATCGCGAAATATTACAGAACACTGGCAAGAAGTGCCATGAACAATGGCAATCCGTGCAGACCAAGCAGCATTACTGAAAATATCTGTAACAAAGACTACCCTTGTTACAAAGGAAGCTGTATGAATCAATCATGTCCGAGATGAGTTATAGAATCTAATACAATTTTAACGTTTATCTTGCATCGAAGCAGAATGTCAGAGTGAAGCACCTAAACGCAAGCGCACGATGTCAGCGATCTAAACTGTTCGGCCTCTGCGGCCGCCACAAAACCTGACAACCGGTAGTCTAGATCACGTACTTTATGTAACTGGCGCTCAATGAAGGCCCAATTTCTTTGGAAATGTCACCATAAGAGCGTGTTTCCCAAAGCGACTGGAAGCAAGCACTAAAAATGTCTTTTGCAATTATTTTCTTAACACTGCATTACCTCTGTTGATGTCCTGTACAGTTCGTCCTGCTGAGAAACAGAGGCGGATGCGTGAAGGATTGATACGTAGGGTTGTAAATCCCAAGATAATCCTTGGTTGTGATTCTTGGTTCGTTAGCACTGTACCCATCCTCCCTGTAACTAAGTACTGCCACTTTAATTTGTGAATATTTGGATCGGCCGATAATCAGACGCCAAATTCTATATCTTGGCAGGTATGTTTTTGATGGGCAAGTCGGACCTGTATGATCGGTCTGTTACATCATCTGGTATTGTGTGAAATTGAGTCTGAACTACCCTGTATTCTGGACGATGAATTACACCGATTAGCAGTACTTAGTTTAGGTGTCCTCTCACTTAGCCAGATTCTGTCAAAAGAGTGCCAGAGTGGCATTTGGCTGACTAGAGTTAGTGTTTTGATGACACTTAGTCAAGATTAGTCATAGTCTGTATCAACAAATGCTCAATTAGTTAGATTAGTGAAATTTGTATTAAAGTGAGATACATTGATTGGTATTATTTGAATATTTTTACATTTTTCATATATGTGTTAAAGTGAGAGAAATGAAGTACGTTGAATTGGTTTTAACTAGATTTACCACTGAGAAGGTATTACCAGTATATATAGCAAACTTTAGCCAAATAATTTCATGCATGCATGTGTAGAAATCAGGTTCATCGACAACAACATAGGCGGTCAGTATCTTCTTCACAACAACTACCAGTTCAGTGTGAAAGCAAGATGGAGGAATGAGACTGTCTACTGGCGTTGTCGACACCACGGTTTGGGATGCCGTGACACTCTCAACACAAAGAACAAAACTTGGCCAGCCACATAACCATCGAAGTGACAGAACGTCGGTTGAAGTGACAGAGTTCGTGAACACTCTGAAGAAGAGAAGAAGTTACCCCGATTCCCACTATCTGCCAGGAAGAAGTGTCAGGCCTTAGAAACCACGATTAGACTGACAACGACGCAGAATCGGTCAGATATATATTGATAGAATGGTTTTACATTTTCAATTCTTCTGATGAATTAAAAAACAGTTTAACGTTTTCAGCTTAAAGAACAAGGTAATTTGACACCATGAGGTCCGTGAAATGGTTGACATGTTAACGTTTGATGTTTGATTACGAACAAACAATCCAGTTGTACATGATTCATATCTAAAACGTCCATAAATTCCTTGTAACAGAATTTTAAAATATGCGAAATGTAATACAGATAATCTACTCCAAACTGGGTAGAATCGACAACAGTTACCACTTCAGACCAACAACTTTAACAAGTGGGGCAAGTGTATACAGTCTCATGCTATCCCAAATGCGTAGATCGATGATCATGCTGGTGATCTATGGATTGTCTGGTCCACACTCCAATATTTACATACTGCCTCCAGAGAGCTGAAATATTGCTGAGTGTAGAGTTAAACAACAAACAAATAAACAAACTTTGCCTTATCTACTGTTTAGTGAAACATACAAAGAATCTCGAAACCTCCCCGGAACATAACTACACAGGCTGTTTCTGGACACATTGATACTGTTATCATTTAAGATGCAGACAATCATTTTGCGGTGTTAAACAAACTAAACAAATCTTCCTGGTATCACCAATAGGTGAAATATTTCCTGGTTTTATATCACAAGTGTGTGTGGCGTGCAATAACCTAACGCTTGAATAGTCAAAAGAGGAAATAGTGGCTGGGTTACTGAAAGATTTCAAACTGCCATGTCGAATTTCATAACAGAGATAGCGCGCAGGTCAGGCAACGCTAGCTTATTTCACAAACATATCCTTCCATTACATGACTGAGTGAATGCTGCTTTAAACCGCATCAATAATTTTGCAGTTATTCGCGGCTAGCCTTCCACTACAGAGTACCTTCCCTGTACGGCTTGACTTGATGAATATAATACATTTTGCATCCTGTTAACCTGTGATGTTGCTGATTTCTTTCTCGTTCTCTTACGCTTTCTCCGATTTGAGAGTGGTGGGGTACCCTAAAAATTAAAGCATTCGCACGCCACGATTCCCTAAATGGGTGCAATTACTGAAACTCATGTCTGGTGACTCCCACCGTGATATTGCTGGAATATTGCTAAATGCGGCGTAAAATGTTACTCACTCTCAACATGCGTTATCCGTGTCTTTTGCACAAACACACTTAGTCCATGGGTACTGACCATCTCATACTCACAGAGAAGGGGGTCATCAGGATTATTTTTCTAAAAGCGGCGTAAAATCTTTCTCACTCCGCACCCTTTCAAGGAACTCGTGAAGAGCAACCTCCTCGTGGTGAGTTCTGGGTAGCGCTAATAGCTCTTCCCCCGAGTGGAACCGGGGTCGAATAGGTCTACAGCATCCAATTGTTGGTCGTAAAAGGCAACCGGATTGGGCAACCTGTTTGCCGTGGATGGCGCCTCTGTGTTGGTGGAGGACGGGAGTCTGGTGGTTGAGGGAACTGGTTTTAGGAATAGCGTTCCTTTGCCCAACACACCACTTCGACACTTACTTCACATAGACGGGTGATAGAATGTCCCCGATTCTGTCAATCGGCTGGTGAAGCCAGGCCATGTGCATGATGAGTACTTTTGCCCATATTACTGTTATTATTTTTTCTTGGCTTTTTCGGATTTCAATGTACAAATTATTGATATAATATTAATTTGCATAGAGTCCCATGCCAGACGGTGGTGGCTCATGGAACAATCTGGCAATATAGACCATTTAAATCTGTGTTTCTCCAGAAAAGTGTCAAGGGCAAGGATATTTTACATCGGAGTTAAGGTGTATGTACCAACTACTCTCTGGTGCTTTAAATTTTATAAAATTGGTCATGTGTTCCCTTTGTGGTTGGACCGCCTCCTTGGTGTAGTGGTTAGAGCGTCCGCCCGGAGAGTGGAAGGTCGCAGGTTCCATCCCCGACCGCGTCTTACCAAAAGACGTTAAAATATGGTACTTGTTGGTCCATGCCTGGCGCTCGGCATTAATGGGTACAACAAGGACTGGTCGGCTCGGAGTCAGTATAATGTGTCTGAGTGGGGTATTCATGCTTCACTGCGGCATGGTATCTCAGTGGGCTAGCACTATAAAACCAGATTCAGTCTGGGCTAGTACAAGCAGCCGTACATACACATACACACGCATGCACGTCGTCATATGAGCAAAATATTCTCAAGCACGACGTTAAACCCAATTTCACCTCACCTTACCCTTTGTGGTGGAGCACACAAACACTCTGAGTGCACGAATAGCATTAAGTGTGGTAACTGTGACGGTGAACACTTGATCTCATTCAATCATGTCGCTTGTATGATCGTGAGACCATACGATCTCGAGTCATTGCCTGTAGACCTCCCATGACATCCACGCCATGTCAGACGTCATTGTCCTGGGTACATAAACAAGTTATCATCAGGGATAGTATTCAGACCTCTCAATCGACACCTTCAATATATCTACATCGGCCTCCCAGACAGAGTGTCACATCACTCCTTCAGCAGATCCATCATCTGAATCGGAATGTTCCACAGAATCAACACAAAGTCAAAGTAAATCGGCCAAAAAGGAAAAAGGAATAGAAGCAATAAAGAAGATGGACCAGGGCCCTCCAGCATTTCGAGATGCCTTCGTCTCAGTCTTCCCCTGTAAATGTTCAAAATCAGTTTGAGATAGATTTTAGATTTTAGATTTTAATCCATTTCTCCCAGTCAGTGGAAGTAGACCCCACTTTAACTCAATCTCCAATTGAGCCTCCATGAGTAGCGCAAATAGCATTGCTCAGTGGAATTGAAGAGGACTAAAGAATGATTTTAATGATCTACAGTTACTAATACAATATTTCAAACCATCGGCATTTTGTTTGCAGGAAACGTATCTTAAAGACACATATTTTATTGATATAAGACAAAGTAATTCCTATAACTTCTTTTCTCCTCCAGGGCCTTGAGCTACTGGAGGTTCTTCATGATCAGTTTGGGTGAGGCAGGGTGTTATACACAGTCCTGTTCCTCTAAATACATGTCCTCTAGGGCTGCAACGATTCACCCAGACCTCGTTTCGATTCGATTTTTGATACTGGACCCTCGATTCGACCATTTTCGATACGGTTCTTCATACAAATAAAAACATCAGATTTCATTTAACTCTCATAGACGACTTTTTTATCGTGAAATCCATCATCAACTTGGCGATGTCTACTAACAACAATTGTCATTTCATAATAAGCTCGGCGTCAACCAATCACGTTTCATCTTATTTCAGACCTTGAAACTGCTCGAATTGGAGTCAAAATTACGTTCTGGCTGTGTGGAAATAATTTTAATAGGTATTCAAATATCGAATCGAAATAGTAATAATGGTCATCGAAAATCGAAACTAAGGTGTCAGATTCAATTTTCGATGAATCGAACCGAATCGTTACATCTCTAAATTGTCTTCAAGCTGAAGCTGTCAGGCTGACCTTAAATGTTGTTTTGGGAGGTTCTGATACAAACAGAAAAGGGAAGACACGAGAAGATTTTATTTCAAAAAACGATCTGTCTATGTTTTATGATAATTCAAAAACATGTTTACATATGCTCGTGTCTAGATTTGTCTCTCACTCATGCAGACCTGTCAAATGAATTTGAATGGTCAGTCCACAACAATCTGTGTGGCAGTGATCATTTTGCGACCTTTCTTCAAGCAGTAACTCCAACTGATGTTCCTCCATCATCAATATGGAACTTCAATAAGGCTATATTCAAGTTACTCTGTACAAGCAAATTACATTCTGCTCGTTTTATTGATGCTTAGGATTCAGTGCAATTATTTTCTGATGAACTAAACTAAAAAAACGATGAATGTATTCCTATGTCCTCTACAACTCCATATATACGTAAGCCATGGTTTAATAATGACTGCAAACAATCTAGGAAGGCACAGAAAAAAAGCTGAAGACTATACTATTTCCGTCGCCCCCAATGGTGCATAAGTTAAATAGATATAAAAAAATGCTAAATAACGGCGTACCTATAAGCATACTAAGCGCCAGGCTCGGCAAAATGATGTTCCGAAAATAAATTCACGGACGCCGATGTCCAAGGCATGGAACATGATCCAGAGAATTAAAGGTAAGGGTACCAAATCTAGCATACATCGGTTTCAGTTGTTAGATAAATCTGACATCGCAAACAAAACTCGGTGAAACACTTGCAAAACATTCCTCCTCATCAAACTATGTTCCTAAATTTCAAAAATGCCAGGAACAGCATGAAAAGAAACAAATTAATTTTCATTCGGATAATGGGGAAGACCATAACGAAATGTTTTCTATCCATGAACTTCATACTGTTCTTGAACAAGCTCACGATACTGCTACAGGAGCTGATAAGATGCATTATCAACTTCTGAAACACTTACCTGAATCCTGTTTAGAGACTTTGTTGAATATTATTGATCTCGTAAATTCCCTTCATCCTGGCGTGATGCAATAGTTGTACCTACACCCAAACATGGACATGATCATACCGATCCCTCTAATTATAGACCCATTTCCTCGACTAAAACGATGGAACGCATGGTCAACAAAGGATTAGGCTTGGGTAACAGTATGTTCCCGGCGGCCACGGCAGCCCTGTTTCGCCGAAACGGAGGCAAAACGGGATGGACGTCAGACAACGTGGGGGTGACTGAATGAGCAAACGTGGCAGCTCGTGGTTGCCGTGGATGCCGTGCCAGATTTTTTAAACTGTTCAAAAATTTGCCACGGCATTCACGGTACTAATTAGAAATCTAGTAGTCCCTAGTAAAACGGAGGGAACGCGTGACAACGCGTAATAGGCCGTAACAAAATTCGTAGACGGTCCATAGCGGGTCCGTAGTGGCACGGGAGGTATGTGTCTTCCTTATGTGTGTTCGGCCACGTTTGTTTGGCATTTTTTCACGGTTGTTCCACCCGCTGGCCGTTTTGTCCCGGTTCTCACGGCAAGACAGTTTGTATGGTATTCGATTCGTCCCGTTCCATCACGACGCATCCAGTCGTTTACAAGGCCGTCGAGATACGGCACGTTGCGTTCTCTGGAATTCCCTCTCTGCAGCTGATGCTGGCCTTCTTGCTGACGCAAGGACTCAATGTATGCCCCCAGCAAACATACAAACACAAAATCTGCTTCATCTTTGGGGTTTATGCTGCTCTTTTCTCACAGGATACAGTGGCTGTTCTTGCTTGGGATGGATTTTTTCATACGGTTGGCACAAACGAGCTCCACAGCTGGCCGGCGTCTATGTTTCATCTGAAGAAAACCTTGACAGAACGTGCAAAACGTGTCAAAGCCTTGATCACAACGTGAGGAACGTGAGGGAACCCATCAGAACGCTACAGGCTTGGAGGAAACGTAATTACATCAATAGTGGACTGCGGGTAGAACCGTAGTGCGTCTTTGAGCTTCCGGGACTCAGCAGCCCGTTTTCCCATCGGTGCATCACGGTTACCGTGATTGACTATGAGAAAACTTAGCAGGACCTAACAAAACTTGACTTTGGGGGGCAAATGGCCAAAATCCCACGGTGCACTACTTTCGGGGAAACGGGGCTGCCGCGGCCACCGGGAACATAGTGTAGCCCTAGCATTAACTTGGTACCTAGAATCTAATAATTTGACCTCAAATATTCAATCTCGTTTTCGTAAAATTCGCAGTACCACTGACCATTTAGTGTGACTGGAGTATTTCGTTAAGAATGCCATTATAAACAAGCAACATGCAGTATCAATCTTTTTCGATTTAGAAAAAGCTTATGACAAAACATGGAAGCACGGTATGTTGAAAACTTTACATGACTTTGGTTTACGGGGCCGCTTTCAAGTCCGCGTGGGTTCTACCCTGTCTGATCATTATAATCAGGGTCAGATTGTCCCACAAGGCAGTAGTTTTGCCTATCACATTATTTCGTATTTAGTTTTAATGATTCCATAGATGGATCACTTTTTGTGGATGATTTTTACTATTTCCTGTCGTGGAAAAAACATGAACATTATTGAAAGGCAGCTGCAATTGTGTTACATAAAATGGATAAATGTTTTTTAAAAAATGGAATTAAATTTTCAACAGCAAAAAAACTGATTACATCCGTTTTTGTCGAAAATATGAACCACACAAAGACACATAATTGTTTTTAGATGGCCCCCATATTAACTTTGTAATGGAAACCATGATCCTGAATGTGATTTTTTATCACCATTTAACTTTTCGTCCCCATATAAAATATTTGAAAAATAAATGCATGTAGGACTTGATATATTAAAAGTCTCTAACTCAAAGCAGGAAGGGGATCAGAAGATCCTCCTACAACTATATAGGGCGCTGATCCGTTCTAAACTTGATTACAGCTGCATCATTTATGATGGAACTCGTAAAAATAATTTGCAAAAAAATAGATTCTATTCATCACCAAGGCCTCAGGCTCTGCCTTGGATTCTTGAGAATTTCTCCGAGTTTGTATTCGGAGGCTGATGAGCCATCCCTTAAACTACACCGCCTTAAATTATCTTTACGTATACATTTGTATTTCTAAATTACGTTCTAGTCTGTAACCCACCCATGTCGTAAGAAGTGCATAACGGAATCAGGTGGTCAGGCTCGCTGAATTGGTTAACATATGTCATCGTATCCCAGTTTCGTATATCGATGTTCATGCTGTTGATCACTGGATTATCTGGTTCACACTCGATTATTTACAGACCGCCGCCATATAGCTGGAATATTGCTGAGTGTGGCGTAAAGCTAAAAGGATCTTTTTCATAATGTTAATTATCATTTAATAATTGTTTTTGTAAAAGGAAATATAATCATTAGATAATTTTTAATAATACGTTTTGTAAATAGATAAATAGTATTTTAGACATGGTAGTATAAATTAGCAACTGCGATTGTTAGTGGCTGTATCCCCAAAGGTGGTTAAAATATTGTAAACTTATTGTCCTCCTGAGAGGGTACGTAAGTCCCTAACTTTCAAAGTAAATATCACCAGCGGCTGAAGGGATGGTATAAATCCAACTAGGGTCCAAAAGCTGGTAGCAAAAGCACTGTAAGTCCCCATGGTTCCTAGTATGGTAATCTACCTTCAGTTGTTGGCGATCTATAGCCTGTTTTATATTGTATTGTCTTCGTAAATAAAATAGTTTTAGATTTACATGCTAGTTTTAGACATCATCTGCGATAGTCTAGTTATTTTACAGTCCTTCGATGACTGATTATTTAACAATCAAAAGTTATTGTGTATGCAAACATTTTTCGTCATCATATGGCTGAAATATTGCCGAGGTGACGTTAAATTTTAACTCACTCACTCACTCACTCCTTACTTGTCTACCCGCCTATGTTAATTTATCAGCATATACATCTTTCCATTTATCTACCCGTTAGCTAATCGTTCATATCTAGCTCATATATGTCTCTGAGATACGGTCATTTGCCATTTTATTTTATGCATTATTATTTTGTTGTTGTTATTATTGTTGATATAAATAGATTTCAAAACAGTTTCAACATTGTTATATCTAAATACTCCTTTTATATTTAAATACTCCGGCTTTTGCCATTTCGTTGGCGGCCATCCCCGCTGTTGAGACAAACAAAATTGTCCCGTTTTGTCAGATTTGCTAAACCGTTTCGGTCCTGAACTGTTTTGACTGGTGCCGAATGTTGATTTGCGATGGAACGCAGGGGAGGTCACTCTGAGATTCGTTTCATTTCATTTCCGGGTGTTTTTGTACAGAAGGTGAGGGACTTACATTTGAAATGTGATTAGTTTTGGAGTTTTGACAGCCAATGCCAATGATGATTCCAGTTTTCATGTTCACTTGATCGAGGGTTAGAACGAAATATAAGAATAAGTACTCAACGATCGATGCTTGCGCGGTAAACGATCGACAACCTTTGTGAGCATTGGTCAGATTGGGCATCATAACATCTGTCACTGGTTTGACTGGTGCAGACTGTATTCCCAAGAACTCAAAATCATTCATTAGGCCCGGGATGGATAACTCGGTTGTCCTTTATACACCGGTACACACAGTACAGTGGTACTACTGAAAGGGACTTTGTCGGCTCAGCTACTACAGATCTGTAGCCCGTTGTGTATCTGTAGTTGAAACTAGAATCCATGACTATGCTACCTAAGTTTGAGATCACATTTCCACTGATTGCGAGTGCATCACGAAATATTCGCTTCTGTGTATGCTCGTTTCTTCTATAACACAATCAAATGCATCTGATACAACAGTATGACAGTATGACAGTTCAGATCAAAAAAACAATGCGAAATGGATTCGTCCAAGCGTATGTTAATTATGTGTTCTGTTTTGACTAGGGTACGTTTCTGTATCCTAGCTCAATAGTTCAGTGGTAAGGCGTCTGCCTGTCACACTGAAGGCCTGGGTTCAATCCCCGGTGGAGGCACCTAGGTTCGGGTCTTGGGGTGGGCACGTTTGTGTAGTATCCTTGTACAAGGTAGCTCCACATTGTCTCAGTTCACCTGGCTTAAATGGGTATCCTAGCTTAAAATGGGGATGTGCTGGCAATGTGAGTGTTTTGTTCATTGCGCCTAACAGGCAGCATGGCTGTATGCTCCCCAAAAAGTTGAAAAAGGATCGGAAAGTACCATAGTACTATCCTTTGACCGAGGATAGTAATGTACATAGCGCCATGAGCAGGCAATGTCCCTGGATATGAGCGCCATATACGCGGACTATTACTATTACTATTACTGTATATAGAAACATACTTGGGTACACACTAGGACCGCCTCAGTGGTGTAGTGGTTAGAACGTCCGCCCGGAGAGCAGAAGGTCGCGGGTTCGACCCCCGACAGTGTCATACCAAAAGACGTTAAAATATGGTACTTGTTGGTCCCTGCACTCGGCATTACAACAAGGACTGGTCGGCTCGGAGTCAGTATAATGTGTCTGAGTGGGGTATTCATGCTTCACTGCGGCATGGTATCTCAGTGGGCTAGCACTATAAAACCAGCTTCAGTCTGGGCTAGTACAAGCAGCCGCACATACACACATGCACGCATGCACGTCGTCATATGAGCGAAATATTCTCAAGCACGACGTTAAACCCAATTTCACCTCACCTCATCTGGGTACACACATACCTGGGTAGAACCTGTGCAAACAACAAACAGTTCAGCCACAGTACTACCCCTTCTACAGTTTTTGTTGTAAAACAAAACATTCACACTCCATTGCTAATGTTCGCAATTATTTCTGACATTTCTCGGTTATTTACAGACCATGTGACAGCACCATACCCATGCTTGGCAGTTGTACCAAACTGGGGAACATTATATTAGGGAAAAAGCAATGGTATCTGAAAGCTTATTTTATTCAGTCCTTTTGAAAAAAATAGGGTCAGCACCAGAACTCAAGGGTCGGCCGTGTAATCGGAACCACAACATTTATTTTTAGGCCTTAGATTAGTTGGTTTGTTGTTGCATTCAGCAATATTCCAGCTTTATGATGGTGGTCTGTAAATAATCGAGTCTGGACCAGATAATCCAGTGATCAACAGTATGCTCATTGATCTACACAATAGGGATACGATGACATGTGTCAAGCAAGTCAGCAAGCTGACCACTTGATCCCGTTAGTCGCCACTCGTAAATCTAGGATTTCAAACTGAGAGATACATTGGCAGAGAAAAGTGAGTGAGTGGATATAATTTTACACTGCTTTTAGCAATATTCCAGCAATATCGTGGCAGGGAACACCAGAAAATGGACTTAACATGTTGCACCCATGTAGGGAATCAAACCCGTGTCTTTGGTGTGGCGAGCAAACACTTTAACCACAAGGCTAAGACACCACCCACTGTATGGAAAAGGACAAAAGGGTGTCTTTTTTTTCAAAACAGTGGTGGATTCCTACAGTTGATATATTCATAATTTAAGAGGTATTTTAACTTAATCTACATTGCAGTCAAAGCAGTAATGTAAAGGTTTTTTCCTTTATCAGTCCAGGGTGGTGGGGTAGCTGGCGACCCAGGTTCGAATCCCCACATGGGCACAATCTGTGAAGCCCATTTATGGTGTCCCCAAACTCACTCACTCACTCACTCCTTTATCAGTCCAGATATCAGTGAAATACGAGTCACCCCAGGCACAGTGACATGATCAGTTGTCACTGTCTCAACATGTACAGTTGAATTGGAAAGTTTAATTCTATTTAGCAATATTTGCTCTAATTTGCATGAGACATGTGTCCAGAGACCATATAATAGATCTATTATATGGTCTCTGATGTGTCTAAGCATCACATATATTGATTCAGCATGACATTTGATCCAATTAATCCCATATTATGGCAGAAATACCGATTTGACCTTGAACTTCATCATTTCGTATTGTAAGAGCTACCCAAGTACACCCCTTAATCTGATACATGAATTGCAAGCTAGAACTGCTGACTCACCGCAGTGTTATGTTACAGATGTGACACCCTACATCACCATGTTTACCTGGAAGGTGGCTGTAGTGTCCCTGTGTGGAGTAGGTTTTCTGAAGGAGTTACACTTCCTGGGAATGTTCAGAGACGCGTATCTGACTTCAGCTACACACAATCTTACCCAGGACCAGTTGGAGTTTGAGGTGGGTATTGTCACCCAGGCCTGGCCTATCCTGTGTATGCCTACTCCTACCTGTGCATAATAGATATATATCTGTGTTCCAGGCCTACCCTGTCAATGCCTACTCCTACCTGTGTATAATAGATATATATCTGTGCTCCAGGCCTACCCTGTCTATGCCTACTCCTACCTCTGTGTGATAGACATGTATCTGTGTTCCAGGCCTACCCTGTCTATGCCTACTCCTACATCTGTATGATAGACATGTATCTGTGTTCTAGGCCTACCCTGTCTATGCCTACTCCTACCTCTGTATAATAGATATATATCTGTTCCAGGCCTACCCTGTCTATGCCTACTCCTACCTCTGTATAATAGATATATATCTGTGTTCCAGGCCTACCCTGTCTATGCCTACTCCTACCTCTGTATGATAGACATGTATCTGTGTTCCAGGCCTACCCTGTCTATGCCTACTCCTACCTCTGTGTGATAGACATGTATCTGTGTTCCAGGCCTACCCTGTCTATGCCTACTCCTACCTCTGTATGATAGACATGTATCTGTGTTCCAGGCCTACCCTGTCTATGCCTACTCCTACCTGTGTATAATAGACATGTATCTGTGTTCCAGGCCTACCCTGTCTATGCCTACTCCTACCTGTATAATAGATATATATCTGTGTTCCAGGCCTACCCTGTCTATGCCTACTCCTACCTCTGTATAATAGACATGTATAGAGGTTGAGGAGGCCAGTGAGAATGACCTCCCCTGTGTCAGGAATTTTTATTTTTAGATGCTGTGACGGTGATGACAGGGTTTCTTAGGACATTAATTTTTAAATTGTGAAAATGTAAATTCTTAAATCTAATTTGTTTTTCTACACCTAAAAACCAGTCAGCGCATAAATTAGGTATACAGAAATGTCTATATATCACTTTTTAAATTCTTTAACTTGATATGTTAATTTTTTGGACTTGCTTGAGCTGTGCTTGGGACATGAGAAATTATACATACTTCAATCAATAATTTTCAAAATATATCATTTTTAAACTTATTCTCAATTACCTTTTGTATATATCATACTGAAGGATATGTAAACATCTTTCATTTTAGCAAAAACATAATTTCTGTATTAATTATTAAATTTTTACATAGTGCTTAACACCATGGACTGTGTTTGGGCTCTATTTGTGGAATGACCCATCTGTGTTCCAGGCAGTGTGCGAAATAGTTACCAAATTTTGCTAGTCAGTCAGGCTAGTTATGCCTTAAAGTTACTAGCCCACAGAATAATTCACTAGTCCGAAAATTGAATGTAGATACGAGTTTCATCATTAAGCTGCTAACATGATGATCCTTTTTATCAGGTCATAAACCTGCTTGATTTAAAAGTATCTTATAACTTAATAAATCAGAGAGAGTGATATATTTACGAAATGAGCTCATGAAAATTCACTAGCCAGTCAGGCCAGTGACTGTGGAGATTTACTTGCCCAACTGGATTTTTACTAGCCACGGGCTAGCGGGCCAGTGGCTATTTCACACACTGGTTCCAGGCCTATCCTGTCTATGCCTACTCCTACCTGTGTATAATAGACATGTATCTGTGTTCCAGGCCTATCCTGTGTGTGCGTACACCTACCTGTGTATAATAGATATGTATCTGTGTTCCAGACCTACCCTGTCTATGCCTACTCCTACCTGTGTAGACCTGTGAAGATCTGGGTTAGAATATTGATCTTCAGTAACCCATGCTTGTGGCAAGAGGCGACTAACGTGATCGGGTGGTCAGGCTCGCTGACTTGGTTGACACATGTCATCGGTTCCCAATTGCATAGATTGATGCTCATGCTGTTGATCACTGGATTGTCTGGTCAAGACTCGATTATTTACAGACCGCCACCATATAGCTGGAATATTGCTGAGTGCGGCTTAAAACTAAAATCACTCTCACTCTCTCCTACCTGTGTATAATAGACATGTATCTGTGTTCCAGGCCTACCCTGTGTATGCCTACTCCTACCTGTGTATGATAGACATGTATCTGTGTTCCAAGCCTATCCTGTGTATGCCTACTCCTACCTCTGTATGATAGACATGTGTCTGTGTTCCAGGCCTACCCTGTCTATGCCTACCTGTGTATAATAGACATGTATCTGTGTTCCAGGCCTACCCTGACTATGCCTACCTGTGTATAATAGACATGTATCTGTGTTCCAGGCCTACCCTGTCTATGCCTACTCCTACCAGTGTATAATAGACTACCTATGCCTACCCCTACCCCTGTGTCCTGCTACTTGTGCTACTCATCACAGACCTGGTGTTCTACAAGCCTACGATATCACTCGGCATCTTGGCCCTCATAGCCTACACAGCTCTCCTCATGTGGGGCCGCAGCCTACTAGTCATACAACTGTCTATATTCACAGCAGCCTTCAGTTCGACGACCGATATTGCATACTTCGCCTATGCTTTTGCTGTAGCCGAGCCCGAAAAGTTTCACAAGGTTGCAGGATTCTCCTGAATAGCTTTGCTTCTGGGGAGATTGCTTGCTTGTGGTACAGGACAGTTGATGGTACAGGTGTTCCACACAGATTACTTTGTGTTGAATTGTCTCACGCTTGGATTCGTGTGTTTGGCATTTGTGGTTTCCATGTTTCTTCCGTCAGCTTCACTCTCAACATTCCAACAGGTGATCGAACGGGAACTTCAGAGCCCCGGTAATGGCATGTTTCAGACTCAAAACCTGACACATAGAGGTAGCCATGGCAACTTATCAATTCAAAACAGTCACTTACAAGGGGAGACAACTCATGCAAAAAGGGCAGGTAACTCTGTCATCAAAACCTATGACCTTCCCGGAAGTAGTATAGACTCGTCTGTACTACCGTACGCTACGGGACCAACCTTCTATGACATTGACACAAGCTCTCTGGGTTTCTCGTACAATGATATGATGTCCGAGTGCTCGGACATGTCCAGTCTGGACAGAACTAGACTTGAGGAATCACAGCAGCTGGAGGACAAGGACAAAGAGAATTTGAAGGAGAAGTTTATGTTAAGTGTGAACTCCTTTAGAGAAACCTATACAGACATGTCTGTGATTCTGTGGTCAGTGTTTTGGATACTTGCGACAATTGTGGACTTTCAAGTGGGAGCCTCGGTTCACCTTCTGGGAGAGGAGCACGAAGCACGGAACTCTACAGATGCCACTGTGGAATCGGTATATCTCCTAATTGGTAAGATCTTGGGTTGAATACAAGAGTCTTCTCCATCATACACCAAAGTAGGTACATGGCGGCCGCTTGTCTAAGACATCATGCCAGGAAATTGTTTCCAGACAAAATAAGAATTGAATGTCAACATTACCTAGAGTATTGTCCCACACTTAAAATCCAAATGATTTACCATATGCACCACTACAAATTTACTACAGATTTAGTGCAGATATACTACAGATTATTCTTGGTGTTGGTCGGTCGGCAGTTAATAATGGTAAATCAGAGACAGAAATGCAGTTCTTTTTTAAGGTGCCATTTGGCACTAGACAGATCATTTAGGTGTGCCTTTGTAATAGTAAATTTGCTCATACATTTTGATGATCCAATTAAACTTAAAATATCACAGCTATGTCATTTGAATTTATTGTTTAACAAATCAGCAGCTAAAGATAATTTTTTGTGTCATTGAGTTATGTACTCGCTGGTGTTCATCTCAATTGGGTATCCTAATTTTCCTTCGAGTAACCAGATAAATTGTACCCACCTGACTCAAGCTCATTTGGCTATTTTGCCATTTTCCATTAATTGTAAAAATATAATAAAGTTTAAATGCTATTTATATTGGATCTGTAATATGAGAAACGATAAGAAAGACTGCTTAGTTCATGAAACAATCAACGTTGCTTAGTTCATGTCTTGAAATAGAACCTCTCAATATACCTCAGTCATTTTATCTATGCACGGTACGCAAGCTAAGATTTGAAATTTTTGTGTGTACAAATTTATTGAGTATAAACAAAAACTCAAGTGTTCTTGTACACAATAGACTTAATAAGAATTGGGTGTTATCCTCGATAATCTTCAGGGTATACGTTACGATAACTCTCCACTATAACCTGGATGCATCTACGGCTCGGCCCGATAATTGTAATGTATTACCTCCCTTTGCTGGCTCCGCATTCTCACAGTAGCCAATCAGATAAGCCACCGGTACAACCGAGCTTGCCAGTCACTGAGTGTCAACAAAAAATAGTGGTCGCAGCTGCGAAAGTTTGTTTGCAGTGCCACTCAGATTTGGGGGGAAAACATACGGACAAACTGACAGGTCTGAAACCTTAAAAAAGTATATGCAAGAACTCCTTCTTTCAGAGTATCTGCAACAATATATTATTGTGTTTACAAGTTTAATAGGTTAGATAGTTCAAAAGCAAAAATGAGTTGTGATTGGTACGCTGAACTTCCCAGCATAGACACTTGATTGGATAAAAAGCCAACCAAGGGAGGTAATAAAATCATCGGGCCAAGCCGTAATGCATCCAGGGTATAGTGGAGAGTTACTGTAACGTATACCCTGGAGATTATCCAGGATGGCAGATATGCAGCTTATTTGTGCCTCTGATTCAGTAAACATGTCAGCCTGTAAACTTGAGAGCTGCATTTCCTGAACACTGTCATCACTGCAGCAGTAGCTTCAACTGTCCTTGACCTTAAAGTAACCCACAAACTATGTTATCATCCAGAATGGAATTTCCTGTTATTCTCACTGGCAGTCATACTGTCCACATCCTTGTTCGGCTGTGAGATAATGATATTAATTAGGCTACTAATGTGCAGCTCCATGCAGCTCCAAGTGCATACAACATATTTGACATTATTAAACTTGATAATCCAGGCTGCCTGTGAGGCGATAGAAGATAAATAGTCATATGACTTGTCCCACCGGGTACCCATTTTCTGCTTGGTGAACAGGGGAAAACTTGAAAAAAACTTGCTTACCTAAGGTGAAACCACATGTTTGAGACTGCGACCAACAAATAGTTTGATTGGGTGAATCATTTGAATTGATCACATTTATCACATATTCCAATAAATGAATCATGGTAAGTATTATTTTTATGATTTAAGTCCTGCCACCATGACACATTGAAAATATTTCATCCGTGCCATTTAAATATTTACCGTGCCATGGCTTGTAGATTAGGCACTATTTAGATCCCTATAAATATAAACGTGTTTCCTGCGATTCCATGGCTGCACAATAATTTTATTATTATGACCATTTCAGCAATATTCTGTGTCCTTCTCACGAGCTTCCTGACAGTGAATTGGCCGAATTTTGAAACATTCTTCCTGGGAGGTACATCACTTGTACAGAGCCTGCTTGTGGCTTTGATTGCCGTCCTTGACAACGTCTGGATGCGACGCTCGCTGTACATCGCCTGCAGGGTGCTCTACCAGATGACCATCACCATAGCGATGTAGGTTGCCAAGGTTACAAACTGAAAGTGGTAGATCCACTCAATTTACTTTGATGTGGTTGGTTTGTTGTTTAACGCCACACTCAGCAATATTCCAGCTTTATGGCGGCGGTCTGTAAACAATTGAGTCTGGACCAGAGAATCCAGTGATCAACAGCATGAGCATCAATCTACGCAATTGGGATGGTTGACATGTCAACCAAGTCGTCAGCTAGCCTGATCACCCGATCCTATTAATTACCTCTACGACAAGCATGTGTTGCTGAAGACCAATTCTAACCCAGATCTTCACAGGTCAACTTTCATATGAACATGTTTATAAAAGGGAAGAGATAAGGAACAGCACTTTCAGAGAAAACAATCTTACTTATCACTTGCATGATCCTTCAAATTGATAATTTTTGGCTGCATAAGGTTTGGCCCTTTTTTTTAACTTTAATTTAAGTCGCTGCAGATGTAGGTTATGATGGTTACCATTGTCTCAAAAAAAGTCTAAATTTTTAAATTCAAGATGTGTCGCATGCCTGGGAATGATAAATGATGCTTTTGACATGCTTTGGAGTCCGGGGCGGTGAGGTGGCCTTGTATTTAAAGCGTTCACTCATTACACCAAAGGCCTGGGTTCGATTCCCCACATTGGGACAATGTGTGAAGCCCATTTGTGGTGTCTTCCACAATGATGTTGTTGGAATTTTGCTAAAACCGGCATAAAACTAAACTAAACTCACCCACTCACATTGGAGTTCTTACCATGCAATTCTATCGTTTGTTGTAGGTATCGAGTGGCTACTTTTATCAGTGGCAAACGGTTTGCGTTCGTGTTTGGTATCAACATGATGGTGTCTGGCATCATCATCCTCATCTTCACCTGTGCTGCAGCCATCAACAGAGACACAACCTTCACGGCCTTATCCCAGGTGATCGCCTACACTCTCTAATATTGTCTCAAAATATGGCATGTTTATTCTTGGTGGTTGTCATTCCATTGACAAGGTATGTATGTTCCACACTCTATTCTTGACACAGGTATGTTTGTTCCACACTCTATTCCTGAGCATAGGCGTCATGCTATTGACCACAGGTATGTTTGTTCCACACTCTAATCCTGAGCACAGGCGTCATGCTATTGACCACAGGTATGTTTGTTCCACACTCTATTCCTGAGCACAGGCGTCATGCTATTGACCACAGGTATGTTTGTTCTACACTCTATTTCTGAGCACAGGCAGACCGCCTCTGTTAAAATATGGTACTTGTTGGTCCCTGCCTGGTGCTCGGCATTAATGGGTACATCAAGGACTGGTCGGCTCGGAGTCAGTATAATGTGTCTGAGTGGGGTATTTATGCTTCACTGCGGCATGGTATCTCAGTGGACTAGCATTATAAAACCAGCTTAAGTCTGGGCTAGTACAAGCAGCCGCACACACACACACACACACGTCGTCATATGAGCGAAATATTCTCAAGCACGACGTTAAACCGAGTTTCACCTCACCACACCTCCTGAGCACAGACATCATGCTATTGACAAGGTATGTATGTTCTAGATGTGTCGCGATACGAGAATGTATCGATGCATCGATACATTTTTACTGACGATACGATACGCGATACATGCTTGCGTGTATCGATTCCTATTTTAAAACTTTATCGATTCAAATTTTTATGCTATATCCATCTCCTTCAAAGTCTTGATAGTAAAATTATACAAGATCGCTCCGATAAATAGATGTAGCTAGCTTTACTTAAAAAATAGGTTGGAAACTAACAGCTTTTGTAATTGGCTAGACTATTTTGATGGACCAATCAGCGAGCGCGTACGTTGCCGATAAGGTAATGCTATGAAAAGGCGCGAAAATTATGTATCGCGATACGTATCGTATCGGGACCTTAAAATCGTGATACGTATCGTATCGTGAGATTGGTGTATCGTGACACCCCTAGTATGTTCTACTCCCTGTCCCTTAGGTGCCAATTATTTAGTGCACATATGGACTAATTACTGTTGTTAATGTAAATGAACTATAGTTAATTCAAGACTTTAACCAAGAAATTATTTTCCCAAAACGCTGGATCCATAGAAAAGGGTGTGCGTTACGTTCTATTCTCCTGAGCTAGAGCAGGGATATTTGGCACCAGGACTGCAGCAAATGTCAGTTGTCATCCCTATATAGGAATATAAACATTCATGTTGTTCATCTGATGTTGTTACTACTTTGTGGAGACCTTTCACTGGTGATATTACGAATTAGAGGAAAAGGAGATTTTGCTTAAATATTTCATTTTTGAATTTGCAAATGTTTCAATGACCTCAATTTTAGGTTGTCATGAAGGTAATGTGAAATGTCTAACCTGTCACTGATTTATGCAAAGGGCTTGCTCTGTGGTTTATATTTCACAACCATAAACACAAAACATGTTGAATTAAGTTTGTATATATGAAAAAGGTCAACAATAACGACTGTACAGATTGTCTAATTAGGCATTGACGCTCATTGCTGGGTAAAGAAATAGGTGATATATTTGCCCCTGTCCATCTCATTACTTGCCATCACCCATGAAAATCCAGGGTAGAATTGGTTTATGTAACAGTAAATGCCAAACTTGATTAGCCAATCAAACACCATGGAATCACAAACAAGTCTTTTTTATTACCATTTGTTCAGATGTACATATGTCAACAAACTCTCTCTGTTTCCAGTTTGCCATTTACTCAGGCATCATCGGATTCTTCGGTCTGGTGATGATCTGCAGATCGGTCTACGGAGTCATTCTGCAGAGCAGATGTGGCACCTCAAACCAGACCAGAGATGACCTTGACACTTTAGTGAGAGATTGACCTTGACCTTGAAATCTGACCTCATATGCACAAAAGAGTGTAGTTTCTGACTTAGTCAGTATAGCACTGTCCATATGGTGCCCCTTTGAAAGCTATGTGATATTTAAGTAATCAAAATCTAAGTCAGTGAATTCTATTTCAGCCGTACCTGTGTCCTAATTCAAGTGTCTGGCAATGTCTTGTATGCCTGGTTTCAGTTTAAGTCATGTTTACAATACATCAGGGAAATTATGTTCAGAAAATCTCTGCTAGAAATATGACTTTGCATCAGCTTTCTGGCTTATTGGGGCAAGGGTGACACTTATATCCCAGTCTCGGATCCTGGACGTGAATCCCATATTCTTTCTGATTACGATTCTTTGTTTTTGTCAGAAATACTATAGTTCTTGCTTCAGTGTTGTTGTCCTTGTCCAAGTGTCCAGTGTTTAGGTATAATGATAATAATAATAGTAGTCCATTTATCATGCACATTTCTCCATGCACAATGCATGCTCGAAGCACCCAAACAATCTGATTATTATTACCCCAGATAACCCATTCTACCTGTGAGGCCCTAGAAGGATAGTGGTTACATGACTTATCCCACCGGGTACCCATTTTCTGCTGGGTGAACAGAGGCAATTTTGAACAAACTCACTTGCCTAAGGTGAGACCACATGTCTCATGTGCTTTGTTGTGGGGCAGGTCTGAAGTCCTAGAAACTCTCAGGAGTCAAGCTGCCAAACACGGTCACCCCTCCGAGCACTGTCCGCACCTAATGTTGCTTAACTTCACCTGATTCATTATCATTAGTCCTTACAGGAATAAACCATCTTTAAGAGTAATAGTCTTTCCCCAAGGCATTTTTAGCAGGGCGCAGAACCCTGCCCTATTTATTTGGCGCCTGCTCTTCTTTTTAATACATTGTCAATGATTGATATCAACTGTTGATGGTTTTATTGTTTTCATGTTGAAGAGAAATACCATATATTACCGTAGATAAGTCGACCCCCAAACTTGACCCTTAAAATCAGTGTCAAAATGGTATGTTTCATACATAAGCCGATCCCCCGCGATGGGCTCCTAATCGCGGCAAACACAGACCAAAGTTTGACTTTGGTCTGCGTTTGCCATAGATAAGCCGACCCCCTTCTACAGACTGCAAAATTTGGCTTATCTACAGTAATATACGGTAACTGTGCTCTTTGAGGCCTTTAAGAATGATATGAATGAATAACTTAACGTAATACTTAGAAATGGCCCTGCCATTTTTGGATCCTGGGGAAGCACTAAGTACTGCTATGTTTTATCATTATAAGGACTAGTGGACTAAAAACTGTGGTGTCCATGGCTGGTATCAAACTTCTCTTTTTCACGGTTGTAAAAGTCAAAGATTTGTTTTGTTCAACATTTAGTGTTCAAATCAGCTTTAAACTCACTCACTCACTCACATTGCTTATTTTGTTAGTCTGTGATGCTGAAATTATCATGTTGTATATTAATGTATTGTTAGTAATTTTCTTCAAGTCAAGTGACAAAATTTCTGAAGCACCGATTATGGAGTTACATTCCTAAAATAAACTAAATATGACATTATGTGAAGGTCCGAGTTAGAATTGGTCTTCAGCAATCCATGCTTGCCATAGGGTGTTTAACAAGATCGAGTAATCAGGCTCACTGACTTGGTTGATATATCCTAATTGTGCTGATCGATGCTCATGATGTTGATCACTGGATTGTCTGGTCCAGACTCGATTACTTACAAACCACAGTCATTTAGCTAGAATATTGCTGAGTGCCGTTAAACAACAGACAAACATGTTATTTTGAAATGTTTAAGCCTCACCTCATCACGCTAAAGAACCAGGTTCCATTCCATTGTGCTGGAATATTATGATATTAAAGTCATATGCTCGCACGTATCTGTGTAATGAACTGACAACGCCTGAACCCAGAAATTCCTGAAAATGTGAAATCCCAAATATGCTGAGGGAAAAGTAGAAGGGATCACATGAAAGCACACGCCACACAGTAGCGAAACTTGTTTTACTTTTCCTTACAACACATTAGGCTATAAGTGGCATTGTTGTATATGGTGCAACGATTTGGTTTGATTCATTGAAAAATGAATCTGACACCTTTTCGATAATGATTATCACAATTTCGATTTAATATTTGAGTGTTGTTCTGTGTTTAAACATCATATCTTATTTCTTTGAAAAAGGTTACATCATTTACGTTCGGGGCTGTGGGGTAGCCTAATGGTTAAAGCGTTGGCTCGTCACGTCGAAGACCCGGGTTCGAATCCCCACATGGGTACATTGTGTGAAGCCCATTTCTGGTGTCCCCCGCCATGATGTTGCTGGAATATTGCTAAAAGCGGCGTAAAACCAAACTCAGTCAGTCATTTACGTTCCCGATTTCCTTGTCAAATCTTGGAAAAAGCTTTCAGCCTGATATGTTTTATTTAATAAACTCTGAGAGTGAAATGAAATCTGATGTTTTTACTTGTATGAAGAATCAAATCGAAAATGATCGAATCGAGAGTCCAATATCAAAAATCGAATCGATGTCTGGGTGAATCGTTGCAGCCCTAGCCCCAACCCAGAAATCCCTGAAAATGTGAAATCCATAAACATATGTTACATATTTGACCAATTAATAAAGGCTTTGTGGATTCATCCCAAAAAATCGGTTTGATGGGAAATATAAAATGATAGTTCTGTGTCCTGCTATTTGTGATTTAGTTTGGATAAGTTGTACATCATTCTTGTTATTATTTATTTTGGTTCTATTTTGCCATTTTTTCTATATCCAATATTTTTGTGTGACATGTGTTGTTTTGATGTTTGTGATCATGATTGAGATTGATTTTGTACATAAATTTTAGGGGGGTCAGTCACATTGTAAATGTTCCTCCATAAAAATCATCATCATCCCGCAAGCCATTAATTATATACGGCCCATGAACAGTGTTTTCTGGAGGATTCATTCAGTTCGATTTGAAGACATTTTCTGTCCCCTAGCTTTTGATTTTATGCTAAATGTAAAAGCAAGGCTAATAAACATAGCGGCCAACCAGAAGACCATATATAATTAATCATAACTTGTTCTGCCTATCAAACGCAATAAACAGAGTTACCTCCCTTCAAATTTATTAAAATGCTCCTCCCTAGAATTTCTCCCCCATAGCAGTTGTTATGGAGATCTCCGTCAATGTGCTATCACTTTTAATTTCTCATTGATCGAATATTTCTGCTGATGATGGTTTCTTGCGCAAGCCATAGAGAAGGCTGGGCAGTACTTGCAGAAGTAACTGATAATACAATCAAAGATCACCGACTTCCCACATTTTTCAAGGCAACACATTTACATGAAGTAAGAAAGTCAAAGGGTCCTTTGATAAATGTTGTACCAACTAGATGAACCTTTTTAATTTGAACAATGTGCTTTGCTTCTCTTACTGATTACACATGGGTACAATGTGTGAAGCCCATTTCTGGTGTCCCCCGCCATGATATTGCTGGGATATCGCTAAAAGCGGCGTAAAATTAAACTCACTCACTTACTGATTAATTAGCATAAGGGCAGGAAGGGCAAATGTCTACTTCAGTTGTCTTGAGGCTGGGAGTTAACCATTTACACAATTTTACAAAGTTATTATAATATTCGCTTCAAAGATAACATGTATTTTCATATTTTTGTAATATGTTGTCAGATGGTGGGTGGATAGTCCTCAATATATGAACATCAAAGAGATGATTATGTTGTTGAACATTATGTTTTATTTATCTAGGATCAATAAAAAATGCATTATAAAACGGCCTTTTTCGCAAAGACGTATTGTTTAACTGTTCATAGTTATGATTCATGGGGGGGTAGTAGGATAGCCTAGTGGTTAAAGTGTTAGCTCGTCCTACTGAAGACCTGGGTTTGATTCCCCACATGGGTGCAATGTGTGAAGCCCATATGTGGTGTCCCCCGCTGTGATATTGCTGGAATATTGCTAAATGCAACGTGAAACCAAACTCACTCACTATAATTCATAGTCAGTACCAAGCACAAGGATGAGTAAGGGATGGTTATAGTGTCGACATATCATAAGTTGGACCCCAAGTATATGTGAGTGAGTATTATTTTATGCCACTTTTAGCAACATTCCAGCAATATCATGGCACATATTTCACCTATGTGGGGAATCAAACCTGGGTTTTCAGAGGGACGAGCAAACACCTTAACCACTAGTCTATCCCTGTGAGGCTAATAGGGGTGGGTATTGCAGAGAATTTTCATATTGGGATATATTGCGATGCGAAAGCATATATTGCGATATGTATTGCAATATATTGCAAGAAGTATTTTTAAACAAAAAACTACTTATAATCGAGTTAATACTTGATATATAAAGCAAAAACACTACAAAATCACTATGCTTGATTAAGCTTTAATAACAACTTTTAATCATGACAAAATAAAAAATGTAAATAATATTTGGCACGCATGAAACAAGGAAATATGCTGAAAACTTCAGAGTGTTACGAAGTTTCCCAAATGCAAGTCAAAATACCGGTTTTCGATCAGCGAATCGCAATACGTATCGTTTTCATGTCTGAACTGGTAAATATCAGTAAAACGGTTATATTGCGCAGCCCTAGAGGCTAATGTAAACTAAGTGGCTCCCTATTGTTGATAGAACTGTTGTATTTGTGTGATGTAATGATAGCAAAGTCTCTTTTGTACTACATTGAAAGGATAATGTGGAAATGGATAAAACAGTGTTTTCATGCACAGATCGATGTCTCCATAACTAAATCGAAAATTTTGTGGTGATGACATATTTTAGTGTGCACATTTTTCAAAAGATTACAACACTAGCTGTTATTATTAACAAATATATAGTATCTTCATCTCACAAACCTGAATATCTTTCAATATTCTTATTTACTGATCAAAAGCAAGCATAGAGTCATTAGACTGGTGCTCATTATGTCAGTCCATAGAGCCCTAAGAGGTATAGCATTCAGGCGATTGTGATCATGTGGTCGTGATCCAAATATTTTAGCTAATACTTAGTCAGTCACTGTATTGTCTGGTCCAGATTTTGTTGTTATCTGCTGTCTTAGCTGAAATATTGCTGAGTGTGCACTTAAACAACAACCAAAGAAACTAACTTGTACATACTGACAAAAATACTATTTTGCAATTAATGTTCTTGTGTCACCCTTAACTAGATTTGTATCATATAATATTCATGCATAGCTCCAAGACATGATACTTTTACAGTGTCTTGAATGTTTGGTAACTCATCCATCTTTTATTACCAGTCTCAAATATGCTTGTAGACTGGCACAGAACGCTTTCATATATGTATGTGTTGTCAATGCTTTGTACATTGTGCTTTAATATTTCACTGACTATCGTGTATATATTTATGTAAGCATATCACAGTGCTGTGTTTCTGGTGCTAATGGAAATCCCTATTATTATGTGTATTGCAAATTACATTATTATTATAGTGCCCAACCAGAAGGACCAATAACCAAAACGTTTTCTGCCTATCAAACTCGATAAACAAGAGTTACCTCCCTTCAGACGTATTACCCAAGCTCCATCCCAGTATGAGACACTGTTACTATCCCGGTCTAGTTGTGGAGAGCTGCCGCAAAGGGCTATCACTGTAAGGAGCTTTGTGTTTATGCATGTTAAAGGTTACCTCCCTTAGAATGTGCGTTGGAAACCGGCAACGTTTTCTAATGAATAAATCAATATTGAGGGAATTCTTGAATAAAAATGGATATTTTGTCCCAATGCAAAACTACATTATTCCGATTCATATGAATAAGTGTGTACCGAAGTTGTGTCTATTTATTTGACCAAATTGAATTTCCCCACTTACTATGAGCAAGTATTAATTTATTCATTGCCATGGAGAAAATAACCATTGTATATACATGTATATTCCACGGACATACACATACACCCTGACCCTTAGGGTTGCACAGTCTTC